AGCTCCAACGTAGTTGGTCTGGGTTATATACTTCAACAATGGTATGAACAGAGATATGGAGAAAAGGGAAAGAATTAGAATGCTGAATATGGTGCACTTACCTTTTCTGAAGCAGCATAAGCAGCCTGCACAGGGGTCATCCCTTGAAATGGAACAAGAGCCGTTGTAAGTTCCCACAACACAATCCCAAAACTATAAACATCAACTTTTTTGGTATATGGTTTTTCCTTAATCATTTCTGGAGCCATCCAACGATAGGTTCCCATATTACCCTTGGATGCCTGACACTGAGTCTCCAGGCAAGAAGTGCCAAAATCAGCAACCTTTACTCGCATTTCATCATTAAGAAGTAGATTGTCGGACTTGAGATCTCTGTGAATCACACCTTGTGAATGAAGATACTGCATTCCTCGGGAAATGTCAAGGGCTAATCTCAAAATTGTTTCAGTTGATAGAGAGTATGGCTCTTTCTTGTGGAGATACATCCTAAGAGTTCCCTGTGACATATATTCCATAATAATGCAGTACACTGGGGGCTTCTTGCATGCTGCTATGAACTGAAAATTTGATTAAAAAAAAGATATGTCAGTAGTACAAATAGCAACTAGTAAACTAGATAAGTATATGGACTAAAGATATAAGTACTAACTTAGTACAGATCAATATACATGCATTCTTCTCCACAAAAAATACGCAATCGTTCAATTTATATATCAACGTATAAGAAAAAACAAACTAGTCCTATGAATAGAAATAGTTCAGTGTTCACATAGAACCAATATACGGCTACAAGCAAATGCTCCACATTTGTTGCATCAGACATGAGTACAATTCCTATAACATGATGGATGAAAAAAATTTAATCGTGCTTATATTTGTAATTAACAACGTCAAAGTCTGCATAAAATAAGAAAACCTTAAAACAAATTTGGTGCACCTCAAACGATAAAATGAAAAATGATCCACACATCGGAGTTTTGCATAATGAGTTTTTTTTATCAAGATTTTCAAAAGAAAGCATTGAATAGGTGGCCAAGACATATAAATTGTGACGAAAATATTCACACTGTTTAAGCCTAAACAATAAGAACACTGAACTAAGAATTTCCTTCTCCTCCACAGTAAAGCAGATGAACTTATTATTTGACTTCAATTGTCCTCTATCATGTGCAAACCACAAAGCTTTAGGTACCTCAACCTTCACACTGACTAATATACTGATAACATAGCGTGCACGAACACCCATGATTATAAATGCACACTCACAAATACTAAATTAACCTGCTTTTAACTGCATTGGACTAAAGTCCTGAATCTAAATCCATCAAACACTATGCCCTGGAGCCACACTTGGTCTGCGCCGTGCTACTCGTCATGGCTGTTTGAACAGATCTAACAACTTCAGCATGCTATTCTTAGACATGGAAAGCCTAATACCAGATCTCCTAATGTCTGGGTTCACTCAAAACAAACACTAAGCACACGCCTGAGCTAATACCTAATCTGTGACAGCATCACTACATTATGCCTGTCTGTATTTGTGCTTGTGGTGCAGTGGAAGGACTCCAAGCAATTATAGTCTGCCAATAAATATGATTGCTTGTGCGCACCCTTGGTCACAGCCAAGCAAACTATAGCGTGTGCCAACAAAAAGATGTGACAGTTCACAGTTCAACCTTTGGTTAGACAATCAAGCAAGGATTTCATGCAAGATTTTATGCAGAATAGACATCATTCCTGGCAGACACATGCAAGTTTTGATGGAAGAAGGGATGTTTTTGGCTTTTTGGTTAACTAGAAAGTGAAACTGTTGGTGGAACACTTTCATGCATAGAGAGACAAGGTTGTTTGTTAATGACAAGACGAAAATAAAAGGAAAATGTCAAGGTGAGACGAGATTGGCATAAGCACAGGCTTTGTCAAAAAGTAGGAACAAATGAAGGTTATTTGAAATTTATCCTAAAAGTGTGTGGCAAAGAAACGTCTTTAAAACCAATGGTGTAGCTGATGTGTATATTTCACTTAGTAACAGAAAGTAGATTTTCACATTAAAAAAATAGAAATCCAACCCCGCCAATCTCACTATCAGAACAGATAGGAAAAGGCCATGACAGAAATTATATGACTTTTTGTTACTTTTAGATATTGAATTTTGTTATGTTAAGACTTGTCATAGATTCTTAGTGCACACTTACTAGCTACAAATACTATCATGATCAATGATTCAAGATAGAACTCATATAAAAGAGAATTTTTGAAGCCTGAAGGACAATAAATAAAACTTCAGGTAGGAAAGGAAAGAAATATGACCTACTCACCTGCACTATATTTGGATGATATAGTCGAGTAAGGAATGCAACCTCAGACTTAAATTGCTCCTCCAGCTTATCTCGGGTCTGCTCATCCTGCTCAGGGATTCTCACCATCTTCACAGCCACTGCCCTCTGCTTGTAGATTCCCCTATAGATCCTACTATGTGCACCAGAAGCAAACTTGTTACCAATGAAGAGTTGAGAAAGATCGGCCATCCATTCCTCGCGCTCTCCCCCTGTATTTGAGTCGAAACCCTCTGGATTCGCAGGATCCAATAGCATCGACCAAGATTCCAGACTGTCCCATCTTCTCTTCTCCATAATCTCCAAATCCAGAGGAAGGGTGCTCTTTCTGGCCGTCGAGGAAGAAGGATAAGAAGAAGAGGGAAATGATGGAGGAGGAGGAGAAGGTAAGGAGATTGTATTGGCCCTGTCCTTCCTCCTCAAGGCCCGGAAAAAACAAGAAGCCATTGTATACCGAACCAAGAAAGGCAGTGGGGCCTGGTTATCGAATAACTAGCTGAAAGAGAAGGTTAGGCTAAGACAGTGGAAAACCTCCCACTGCATCCTTCTATCAGAATGGCAAGGGAAGTATAAAGGATTGAGTCCTGGAGGTTCAAAAGGCATGGTTTGCGCCAAAGAAGAGGAACTTGAAAAATTGCAGGGAGAAAAATATTTGAGAATTCTTCAATAAGGAAAAGATAATGAAACTTTTAATCGGTTTTACACACTGTAATTTGAGATAAGAACCTAAAGGAAGTTGAAGATCATGAGGCTTCTGGCTGCATCTTGAAGAATCAAAAGAAGCTTGCTCGATGAGGGATAAGAGCAGCCGCCAATTCTTGAAGTTAACTACTTCTCTCTGAATGAAGAAATCAACGTTATCCACTTGGTACAGGAAGATAGAACACAGGTATCTTTCTCTCTCTCTCTTTTTCTTTTTCATAGCATTGAGACAAGTCAGGGATTTAAAGGGTATCAACTATCAAGGATCCCCTGTGACTGAGTAGTTGAGAAAAGCGCACTCCCTTTTACCGCTCTCTTTTTTCCGCTTTTCTTCCCCTCAATATCTTGCCTCTGATACTTGTGTTTCATGGTAAAAGAGAAAGGATAGTGGGCTGGAGAATGCCTTGGCCAGCACTCTGCGTTCAGCTCCCCTTTACTTCCTTTTTATCTTTTCCCTTTTTTCCTCTATTGACAACCAACCACTAGCGTCAAGACAATTGCATACACAATTCTTGAAGTCCAGCTCGTTGCATGAAGGACTGCTACCTTAGAGAAATTATACTGTCCTCACGATAGCAGCATATTCCACTGCCCCCACAAGGCACTGGTAGAGCAACTGAATAAACTGCCAAATACCAACATAAAGCCTACAAAATTATGAGGAAAAAGCAAAGCTTACCCTGTTCCCATATCAAACTGTATCTCCAATAGGGGAAAACTTTTAAAGGGGAAAAATGAATGTATATGTAATCTACTGTGCAACTTATTTTCAGAAATAAACCGAAATCATTTAACTAACATGGGCTGCATTCAGCACATGTTAACATTATTCAAATCCTTTTCCTGTCAAAGTAGGATCAGCAGGATCAGCAGAAAGGTGCACTAGGTGTTTGACAATTTCCAAATGTATATCACACATAACCCCTCTAAGTTGCCAAGACATTATGGACAGAACTAAGCACAGGAGCTTGCCATAAGTCCACAGGGTCCAGCTTCATTACACAATTGAAGCCTCAAGAAGAAAGAAACCATTCTTTCAAATTATCCTAGGCACTGAATGAGTCTAGAATAAAGTGAAAGATAAGAAATTTTCTGGGAATTATGTTCAACCCTCAGGCACAAACATAGCCAAAGAGCAAAATAAAACAAATCCCTAGAAACCTTAGGCACATCATAGTAACTATCTTTATTGCATAAATATGTTTCAAGAAAGAGTTGCATTTGCATACAATAGAGAGAATCCTGAAAATTTAAAACATAAATCAGATCAAGAATTGCACAAATTTGAGGTTAAAAATGTTTTCCCTTAACACATCCAAGACACCAACCTGTAAAATAGTACATTTTATTCAGACGCAGCAACAAATAATAATTTATATGTACAAAAGGATTTACATGTACAGAGTGATTTAGCTCCACAACAAATATCGTTTGCCAGAAACTCAAAAAGTGTTGTCCGCTTGCTTGGATGGGGCATCATTTGCAAGCTTCTTTCGATGGGCAAGACAAACTACGTACCTACGGGGGGAGGTACTCTGTAAGTAAGAAATATTTACATCAGGAACGTGTTTAGATGTCAGTTGTTAATGCTTTCCAGTACAATAATTATTCCACTATATCACCTGGACAAGAAATCAATACCCGCAAAATATTTATCCAATATCAGAAACATACGAAAGAAGTAAAATACTGATACTCCATAAAGTCCAAAGAAATAACATGAATGGGCAAACTAATTAGCTGGGTTTTTAATTATGGCAAGCAAAAAAATCACCGTCAGCAACACATAATTTAGTTATGGTCAATATAAATTGCATTTATGATGAGAAGGGGGAAACAAAAACCGACTCTATAAAAGTTAATTAAAAAAGAAAATAGATGGCCCCTCTCAAATGAAAATTCTGCAATATTGTTCTTTGTAAGAAAAAGACTAAGTGCACATTAACATCATGCTCTGTCAGGTCCTCTATATGGCTTCTAAAGGAGTACTGGTTGGATCATACACTAAACAATTTATAGAATAGAATCTGCACACCCTGATAAATTAATAGTAATTCATAGACTCAGTTCAAGTTAAGAAAAGAAAAGGAAGAAACATCTGAGCTTTTTAGGTACAACATTCAATAAGCAGATAATCACATACAAAAAAAAATTCTCTCTCCTTTTTCCCCCTACAATTCTGTTTCCATTTTTTTATAGGAAGGGGTTTGGGAGGAGGCGTGAGGTGATTATCATTCAAAAGAAAGGAAGACAATATAACATGTATGTCTATAATGACTTAGAATGCCAAGTAACCATCGGATATACCAGGACAGAGTCGTGATGTTGCTCAGTTTAAATCCTTGCCGTCTTTTGTTCAGTTGATTTGTTTCTTAATATGTTGACAGTTACTTTTATTGGTTAACCTGAGGTCAACCCACCAAGAAAATGGAATGCAAGAAAGAGGCTTGCCTGTACAAACATAAGGCTAGTGGGAAAATAAGGAGACATTTAGAATTATGTTACAATCTGAAGAAGCAATACTTCCAACGACAGTTACCATAAAGGGTAGAGGAGGAAGAAACAATGGAAACACAATTGATTCGCAGTTAGTGTATGGAAAGAGACATGACAGTTGGAACAGTAGAGAGAAGAAAGAAGCGGGATAGAAGATCCAAAAAGAGAAAAGATCATACAGCACGCCGCATGAGCCTTCCTACAGCAATAGCTCGAGCCATATCGCTCTTCCACCTCATTATTTCCGACAGTTCCAGCCTTTATAAAGACTTTGCATCGCTAAAACCATTAAAAACGAGTCTCGGTTCCTATACTTCATTCTATTAAAACATGACTACACGGCCCATGCATTACCATCAGCCTTATTTAATAAAGCTATTATTACATTATTGGTCACAAGTCAATGAAGCTCTTTCATAGACTCGTCGAGGCTAAGGTTGGTGCTTCCATAACGGTGTACTGAGGACTAGAAGATAGTCTCATGGTCAAAATTGTCATGTTAATGTTAATGAACCAGGGAGGTCTCTGATACCAAAGTCAGTGCAAACCTAAAGAAAAATTACAAGCTAAAGTGAGTTCATACTTAATAGAGAAGCAACAGTCGTGCGTTCACTATGAAATATATTCTGCCATTAACAACTTCAAGCAAAAGTTGTGCGTGACTTATCAAAGATCAAAAACCCATAAAGAATCTAGCGGAGAGGGTTAAGATTTTGATGCATTTTAGGGTTTATTAGGGTCTCATAATATTTGAAAACAAATTACAACTAAATGCTAGCCAAAAAAAAGGTAGGGTTTCGAAACAAAGTTAAATTGATCGACGGAATCAAACAAAAGAATTACGCCAAATGATCGAGAAACTCACATCATCATTCGCTTTTGGGGAATGGAGCCTGACGAGCCCTAAGATTTCTGCAAGCTCAACTCGGATCCTCGTCAACTTCTCGTGTCGCGATTGACAACGTTCTAGTTGTTGGATCCTCTGCAAAATTTGGAAGAACGCAATTGACGAAATTTGACAAAAGAGTTGGAACGAAAATAGAAAAGGATAAATTGGAAATCGGACTTCAGGTTATTGGGCTTGATATGGGCCGGATGAGGGTGACGCAGTGCAGGCCGAGAGATGGGTCTAGCCCACGAATTGAGGCTCATTTCCGCCGGCAATTATTTGGGCTTGGCCTTGTTGGCTTGATGCCCTATTTATCACGGTTATCGCTGTTTGGAGAAAATAGTGTAGGCTTTTGGGCGTTACATATTGGTTTGAGAAAATAGTGTAGGTTTGAGATTTATCACGGTTATCTCTGTTTGGAGAAAATAGTCTAGATCTAATCAAAACGTTGCCTCCTTTTTTTAACTCCCTATTTGTTTAAATAAACAACGCTTTTTCTTTTCCTTTTTTTTTTTTTTTGTTTTCACATATATCATCGAGCCATATAATATATACAAATATGCACTACACTATTAATGAAATTCCCTTTGAACTGCTTAGATATTCGCTTGATTTATCAACAGGTTCAAAGAATTAGATATTCGCATCTACTATTAACTGCTTCTTGAAAAAGTAAGCAAAAAACAATCCTTCAAAATTTTTTAAAAAAAAGGCAATACCAAGCTGGCTGGGCAAAACTATAACCTAGGCTGCAACTGCCAAAACGCAAAACCAGAAGGGAAAACGTTAAACAAAACAAAAGCTGGTCAAAACATTTCCTTCCTTTTTATCCACTTGATTATTACATCCAAAAGCACGTAGTAGCAAATGGAACTTCCAATAAGTAAATTGCACACAATATAATGGTGGGGGGTAAATAAATTTCCCACGTCAGCTACTACCCTTATTTTCATGGTGAAGGAAGACAATACAACTTACACCAGTACAGAATTGAGAATTGCCTACAACATAAATACATTTCTTACACTGGTAAAATTTTCCTGCTTATGCTAATATTCATACATCTTTACAACATTCCTGAAATAAATTGGAAATATTTAGTTCAAACAGAGAGATACAGCAACAATGCTACTGATACCACCCACTTCAAAGTTTCAATACTCGGCTTACAGCACATAAATGGTTCAATAGAGTCTCAGTCATATGGGTTTCTAAAGTTCTTGAGGAGCTCTGGAATGTCATATCCCAGCATGTCATCCACATTCTGAATCATTTTTGGCTTTAGCTTCTCAAACTTATCGATGCTGTAACCGCTCAATGTTTCTCGAAAATGCTCAATGTTGGGGAAATCCCCTGCTGGTAGATGGAACTCCCGTTGAACCTGTTGATGGAAAGTTCTCATCAGTGGATGCAAAACAATCCAGTAATGCAAAAGCTTGTGTGTGTTTTAGCTCAAAGTGCAGTTGCAGAGAAGATGAAAAATATGGTTTTTTAGCTCAAAGTGCAGTTGCAGCAAAGGAAATGCAGAGATGGGATAATGATAACAGAGGCCAAAAAATATGGTTTTTAGCTTGTATTTCTTCCCTTTCACTTCTCCATTTCCTTCCCAATAAGAACGCCTCTAACGAAGACGCAATACACAAAATAAAGGCACAAGATCAACCAGAGTACTCACAGATATACGTGGTTCACTCCTTCGGAGCTACTCCACGGTGCAACGACGACGTCAAATTCTTTTATATCCCAAAAGAATAGATCAAAGAGAACACCCTCTCTTGATCAGATACACTCCAAGAATTCTCACAATCTCTCTTTGTGTTTTCTCTCTTACTCTTCTATGAGAGGAGTTGTTTCTGGGATGAGATTTCCTTAAGAGTTTAGGGTCCTATTTATAGTGTTTGGAAAATACTATGCACAAATAAAATATTATTAGTGGGACCCGCCACTAATAATAGTTTATTGTGGGACCCACATACTTTTATTCTTTTTCAAAAGTTACGGCTACTTTTCCTTAATTGTCAAGGATGTTAGGTGAGGGCGGCTGCATAGGGCGGCTAACAATCTCCCACTTGAAGATTTGATTAAGTATCAATCATATCTTCACACCACTCTTAGTTGCATCATCCGGATGTCTTGTATCTTTGGCGTCTTGCACGGCTCTCAACGTTTTCAACGGAGGCCATATGAGACTGCACACAGCCTCACCTTCTCTAGCGGAACTGGCTTGGTCAGCATATCGGCTGGATTGTACCTCGTATCAATCTTCACAAGCTTGAACTCGTTCCTGCTTTACCATCTCCGTATGGCATGGTGCTTCACGTCAACATGCTTGGTCCAGTGTTATCGAGGCGCAAGGCGCAATGCGGGGCGCAAAGGTCCCTTACGCGCACCATGCGCAAGGCGCACAACGAGGCGCGCGCCTCACTTAATTGAGGCGCATAACTCAAACTAATATTTTCCAACATATGATAAAGAAGCATATAAGCAACATTTTTATAAATTATCACATAAAAAGACTAAGAAATATAATTGTAGGCTGTCTAAAAATCACAATAGATAGTTTATCCTCCATCAAACACCGATGATGAAAGTTACAATCTGACAACTTTCAGAAGGCTACAATTTGAAGACTTTCACGTAGATCGCTGAAGGTTACAATCTGACGACCTTCACGACAACCGATGAGAGCTCTAGTTCAACAGCATTCATAATCAACATCGGGAATTACAATCTGACGACTCTCATATTCTCAAGGAGCCAAGACGAAGATTACAAGACAATGATCTTTGCAACGCTATGACAAAAGAGATTACTTTGTGATAATCTCTTCAAGACAAGACGCGGAGGTCCTCCCCGTGTGTCAACATCAAAACGCCGGGGTCGATCCCGCGTTACAACATCAAAACACGAGGGTCGAACCCACGTTACAACATCAAAACGCCAGGGTCAAACCCGCGTTACAACATCAAAACGCTGGAGTCGATCCCGCGTTACAACATCAAAACGCGAGGGCGATCCCGCGTTACAACATCAAAACGCGAGGGTCGAACCCACGTTACAACATCAAAACACCAGGGTCAAGCCCGCGTTACAACATCAAAACGCTGGAGTCGGACCCGCGTTACAACAAGCGAAACGTGAGCTACCCTCGCGTTCTGGATGTTCAGTCAACACCCAACCTCGCGTCTCAATCCTAAGACGCGAGGTTAGGGTCCTGAACGCCAGGTTGGGCGTTTGACTCATTCAAATATGAGTCGAACGGTTTCAGAACCATTTTCCCCACGATCTGAGGAAATCACGCCCACTTAGGAACGGATTTAGAGGGCAGTTACACCCCCTTAATCCCCTATAAAAGCGAATAAACTCAACTGAGTTCGGTTGGAATTTCTTGGCTGAGATCGACCACTGAAGGCTGGCATTTTTCGGATCTGGGACTTTGCAGTAACAAGAGAAATCATTGGGCGAGCTTTTGAGGAGATTGGCATCATCCTCCAACGAAGATCATTTTCAACTTCGACAACAGAGAGCTTTCATCCTTAGCTTATCAACCGAACTTTCGGTTCAAATCAACTCTTTTACAGAGTTCTTCAAAACTCGTTCAGAGTTCTCAAACTTACCACGCAAGTTCTCCACAGCGTCGAATCGTGAGGAGAAGACATCGTTCCAGTGAAGCAAAACGTCGGATCGTCAACGGAGAGTAAACTCGACGCGAGCATTCGAGGAAGGCACTCCATCGCCACCGAGAAGAACCCAGTTTTAAACAAAGGAGAGAACCAAATTCGTTCTCTTCTCTTTTGTAATCAAATTGTAACCGGAATCAAAGAAATACAAGTCAATTTTCTTTGTTCTCTTTATTGCAAATTTTTCCACAAACAATAATTTCACCTACTAAATCAAGAAAGAGTCTTAATTAGCATGCATAATATAAAAAAGTTCATATGTTTCCACACATCACAATGTACGATAATATCCAACACGAGCAAAAGTCTACGAAATAAAATAAGCAAGTAGCAAAATAACAAAGTTTCTAGTCATCCTCATCATCATCATCATCATCCAACTGAAGTGGCTCCTCATCCTCAGTTTCCTCCTCTTCTTCATTAAACTCATCTTCATCCTCCGAGTCCGGCTCCCTCCTCCTAGATGACGAAGCAATACCACTTGAAGATCCTCGAACCCTAGCAGTAGCAGTAGACCTTAAATTTGGTCCCCAATTTTCTTCAACTCCCGTTGCTTCACCTACAACACCCCATCTAAGGTCATCCTCCTCATCCACCAAGTCATTTTCCGCATTGTCGCCCTCTCCAAATTGACCTAACAACCACTCGTTGCTTTCATCTATGTCAGTCAACTTGATTGGATCAACAATATCCCTGCAGTCAAATCTTTCCTTCAAAGCTTGATTATATTTGCAAAATACTAGATCCTGCAACCTATTGTGATCCAACCTATTCCTCTTCTTGGTGTGTATCTGCAACACATATAAAGTTAAATAATCAAATTAGTACTCAAAATCCTTAATTCTTTAAGCTTACGTTTATTCAATTAGATGAAATTAGACATACTTGTTCAAAAGTACTCCAGTTTCTTTCACACCCAGAGGAGCTACAAGTGAGACTAAGGATCCTTATAGTAAGTTTCTGCAGAATCGGAGCTGCTGCACCGTAAGAATCCCACCAATCAGCTGTCAAGATACACAAAGTAATTAATACGAGTATACAATATGTTATTAATTTATTTAACTAAAAAGTATGTGTACATAATTAATTAACATATTTACCCGGAGATTTCTTTTCTCGGTTTCTAATAGCTATAGGCATGCCAAATAGATCCTGTGCTTCTTTGTATAAAGTCAACTCTTGAGAAATTTTATCTTGATCCTGTTCGGGCACAAGCTTTTGAATGACTTCCCAGAGGCCTTTCATGATCTCCTTATCGGCTTGAATGTTAGGGTGGGCATAGAAAAAAATTGGATTAAGGTAAAACCCTGCAGCATGCAAAGGATGATGTAACTGAACATTCCATCTCTTATCAATCATCTCAAATACCTCCGAATATTTGCTTGCATCATCACCAAAGGCTTTTGCAATAGCCTCTTTGGCTCTATCCATAGCCTCATAAATAAACTCCATTGTCGGCTTCCTCTCGTTATCAACAAGCTTCAAAACACGAACAAGAGGGCCCGTGAGCTTGAGAACACGAACAACATTATTCCAAAAGTTAGTCATTTTAACTGTCCTCTCCGCCGCTTTGCCCTTTGGATCTCTTGCCCTCTTGTTTTCCACCCACTTTTCAGAGCAAAACATCTTCCTTAGATTATTCTTCTGCTTATGGATGCTTGATAAAGTCAAAAATGAACTGGCAAACCGCGTCGTCGCCGGTCTAAGAAGCTCTCGAGCATTGATTTGCTCTCTCATCAACCTCAAAACCCAACCATGTGAATAAATAAAACCCGTCAACTCCATAGCACGACTCAAGGTCATCTTCATGAACGGTAGTTTTCCGATATCCTTAAGTATGAGATTGAGACAATGAGCAGCACACGGTGTCCAATACATATGAGGATATTCATCCATCAAGTATTTACCTAGAACCAATAAACAAACATCTCATTAGTATTCAATCATTCAATTTTAAAGAAATTAGAAAGCACATCAATCAATATCAAAAAAATTAAATCAAATTTAAAATTCCATACCGGCTAATTTGAGACTAGCATGATTATCTGTTACAATTTGCACAACATTCTCTGGCCCTATCTTCTTAATCTCCTCATTTAAGATCTCAAACATCCTCGCACCAGTCTTGATCTCATCGGAAGCATCAATAGAGGAAAGAAATACCGTTCCGTGAGGAGAGTTCACAAGGAAATTTATCAAAGTCATTTCCTTCCGATCAGTCCAACCATCCGACATAAAAGAGCATCCTTTTTTGGCCCAAACCTCCTTATGAGGTTGCATGAGATCTTCAGTGTAATTCTTCTCCTTCTTAAGCAATGGCTCTCGTAATTGATGGAATGTTAGAGGTGGCAAGTTAGGCCCAAAAGCCCCCACTAACTTCAACATAATTCTAAAGGACCTAAGTTGTACGGCATTAAAAGGAATTCCCGCTTAATACCACCAACGGGCAATATCTTGATGCACTTTAGCAACTGCATCTTTGTTGAGGCCTTCTTCAATGCTTGTTTGCCGCAATTTTCGCCTTCTATCATCTTTGGCTACCTCCAGTTCCGGGTCAAATGAGAGAAACGAATCCATAGGCCTCTTTCTCTTTGTTGAAGATCCAACACTTCCCCCTCCTCTTGTAGCTAAGGAAGATGAATTAGGAGTAGAAGTCAATACACCCTTTCCCTTGTTCCTAGTTGCTTGTGCTTGTTCTTCAACCTCGTCAACTTCATCTATTTCAACCATGTCATCATCTTCAAGATCCGGCATGTAATTCTCCACTGCTTGTTGTCTTCTAATAATTGCTTGTTTTTTGTCATATTCCTTAAGCTCATCAACCACATTCGAAGGAACTTTATTGCAAAGGGAAACATTTTTACGTTTCCTCGTCGTTCCAATAAGATGCTCTTTTTGCCTTGATATGCCGCCATTGGTGATCTTATTACAATAAATACACTTGTGCTTGTTGGAATTCCCTTCCTCAACTAGAGAAGTGTACTTCCAAGTCAGATCTTGTCTTCTACCTTTATTCGCACTCACTGATGTCGATGAAGACATACTCAACAAGTTTATTAGTCACCCACACCCAAAATTATAAGAATAGCAACTTAAATCATCAAATTATGTTAACTAAAATTTTAAAGTAACAAATAAGATACAAGAAATATGTGTTTTAATTAAAAATGAAATATGTTTTTAAGTAACAATTAAGTGATTAACAATTAAATATTTACACGTTCATAATTTATTAGTTAGCATGCTAATTACCTATTTTAAGCTCTTTTTTCTAATTATACTAATTTCTAAGTTGTTGACTTGTTGTTGCTAACTTGCTAATTGACTTTGTTTTTCTTTTTTACAGATTATACTTGAGAGTTAAGTAGCAACGAGCAAGGATGAAAGATCAATCAAATTTCCCAACACATCTACCAAAATAAATATGAATAATTCATTCATTGAATATGTAATTTGTATATTCATATTGTATAATTTGTATTCCTATTTTCTAATGAGATCTTCATATGTAAATGTAGCAGTTAATTGAACAGCAGCACTGCATCAGTTAATTGAACAGCAGAAAAAGAAAAAAATTAAATCTAAACCAAAGCTAACCAATTAATGGGAAAAAACCGAAAAAACAGACAAAGTAAATAAAAAACAAAAATAAATACAAAAACAAAAAAAACAAAAAAAACAAAAAAAACGACTGCAACATTATGTTAGCGGCGAACAAAAGAAAAAAAAAGCCCAAAAAACCGCGTCGGAAGAAAACAAGAAAAGGAACAAAAGAAAAAAACAAATACAAAACCGACGGAAGAAAACAAGAAAAGAGAGCAAGGGAGGAGAACGTCTTAAGAAAAAAAAATCGAAGAAAAAAAACGAACTGAAAAAATTAAAATTACCTGCTTCGACGGCTGCGGCGGGGTTGGAGACGGCGTCAGGCGGGATCGGCGACGGCATCAGGCGGGATCGGCGACGGCGTCAGGCGGGATCGGCGACGGCGTCAGGCGGGATCGGCGACGGCGTCAGGCGGGATCGGCGACGGCGTCAGGCGGGATCGGCGACGGCGTCAGGCGGGATCGGCGACGGCGTCAGGCGGGATCGGCGACGGCGTCAGGCGGCCATCTCCGTATGACATAGTGCTTCACGTCAACATGCTTGGTCCGAGCATGGAATGCGTCGTTCTCTGACAAGTGAATGGCACTCTGACTGTCGTAGTGGATTAAGTATTTCTCAAAGCTTACTCCAAGCTCGAGAAGAAAGGCCTTCAACCATAGCAGCTCTTTTGCTGCCTCTGCTGCAGACACGTACTCAGCTTCGGTTGTTGACAAAGCCACAGTATCCTGTAACTTGGATCTCCAACTTATCGCTCCACCACCCAAAATGAAGATGTAGCCGCTCGTACTCCTTTTCGAGTCTATGTCCCCGGCATAGTCTGCATCACAAAAGCCCTCTAGCTGTAAATATGTCCCGCCATACTCAAGACAACGGTCGGACGAGCTTCTCAAGTAGCGTAGAAGCCACTTGACTGCACTCCAGTGTTGTTTCCCTGGATTGCTCATAAAGCGGCTCACAACTCCCACTCCTTGTGCAATATCTGACCTTGTACACACCATCGCATACATCAAACTCCCGACGACATATGCATATGGTATGTTGGTCATGAACTCATGCTCTTCAGCAGTCTCTGGTGCTTGGGTCTTTGATAGTTTGAAATGACTCACAAATGGCGAGCCCACTGGTTTAGCTTTCTCCATGCTGAACTTTTCAAGAATCTTCTCAATGTAGGCCTTTTGAGACAACATCAGCCTCCGTGCTGATCTGTCTCTGATGATCCTCATTCCCAGAATCTAGTTTGCTGGACCCAGATCCTTCATCTCGAAGCACTCGAAGAGACACCCCTTGAGTTCTTTAATGCGGGCCAAGTCGGGCCCTGCAATCAACATGTCATCAACATAAATCAAGAGTATCACATAGGATTCGCCGTATCTCTTGATGAAGCAGCAATAGTCTGTGTCGCATTTGAGAAAACCGTTCTCCTCCATAAAATTTTCGAACTTCATGTACCACTGTCGCGGAGCTTGCTTCAGGCCATACAAGCTCTTGCGCAGGCGACACACGAGGCTCTCCCTGCCTCGTTCCTCGAAGCCCACTGGTTGATGCATATAGATCTCCTCCTCCAAATCTCCATGAAGGAATGCCGTCTTCACAGCATATAGATCTCTTCCTTCAAATTTCCATGAAGGAATGTCGTCTTCACATCCATCTGCTCTAGATGGAGATCTCGAACTGTCACAATGCTCAGTACAGTCCGGATCGTGGTCAACTTGACGACGGGAGCAAAAACGTCAGAATAGTCTATCCCTGTTTTCTGCTCATAGCCCTTCACTACAAGCCTCGCTTTGTAGCGTCTCCGTCCATCGGCTTCATCCTTGACCCGATAAATCCACCGATTGTGAAGAGCATTTCTCCCTCTTGGAAGCTTTACGAGCTCCCAAGTCTCATTCTTCATCAAGGACTTCATTTCTTCCTCTATGGCAGACTCTCACTCGCCCCGAGCTTTGCCGGTCTGCTGTACCTCCTCATAGCTCTCTGGCTCACCACTGTCAGTCGGGAGAAGATAATTCATGATGGAAAGGTACCTCTCTGGCACCCTTGGATTTCTTGAAGCTTTGCGAATTGCGATCGGCAACTCTGCTGGATCCTGCTGCTGTACATCCGGTACGTTCTCTTGGTCTCTGTCTTCTATGCTGATAGGTATTTCACAGACGTCCTCACTGTCAGCAATATCTGGGAAAAGAGGGGGAGATAGCTGACTCCTACTCACCTCCTTGGTCTTGTACACCGCATTCTCATGGAACACGACGTCACGACTGCGCACCACCTTGCGCGCATCGTGATCCCAGAAACGGTACCCATACTCATCTCCTCCATAGCCGATGAAAGATAGCTTCTTTGATTTTGGATCAAGCTTTGACCGGTCTGTAGGATTGGTCATGACATAGGCGTCACAACCAAATACTCGTAAGTGCTCTAGCTTCAGCTTCTTTCCGATCCAAGCCTCTTCAGGTATCCCATAACTGAGAGCCGCGGATGGCCCGCGGTTGATCAAGTATGCAGCAGTATTGACAGCTTCGACCCAAAAACTCTTGGGCAATCCGGAATGGATCCTCATGCTTCTGGCGCGCTCCAAGATAGTACGATTCATGCGCTCTGCCACTCCGTTGTGCTGAGGTGTGCCTGGGACGGTCTTCAGTCTCCGAATCCCACGGGACAAGCAGAAGTTCTCGAACTCCTGGCTGCAATACTCGCCTCCATTATCGGATTTTAGGCACTTCAGCTTATTGCCTGTTTCATTCTCCACACAGGCAAGCCACTTCTTGAAGATGATGAAAACATCTGACTTGTGCTTCAAGAAAAACACCCACAACTTTCTAGTAGCATCATCAATAAAAGTGACAAAATAAAGAGAGTTGCCAACAGATGGGACTTGCGCGGGTCCCCACACGTCGGTGTGCACCAACTCTAATTTCTGCAGTTTTGGAGACGGTCCGGTCTTGTTGAAGCTCACCTTCTTTTGTTTGCCTAGAATGCAGTCCTCACATAGAGTTAGATCGGTCTTGTTCAGACCCGGAAGCCTCTCTCCCGCGGCCATAATCTGCATCCCCTTCTCGCTCATGTGGCCAAGTCGTCGATGCCAAGTCATGCAGTCGACGGATGATGATGATGATGCTTGTCCTGCGACAAGCAAGTTGTCGATCTTCCCGTTGGCGATGTAGAGAGACCCCTCGCGTTTGCCGTGTGCCACCACCAGGGCACCCTTAGACACCATCCAGCTTCTCTGCTCGAAGGATACTCTGTAACCGGAGTCAGTCAGTTGCCCGACTGATATGAGATTTTGCCTGAGATCCGGTACATGCCAAACGTCATTCAGCGTCAAGGTGGTCCCGCCCTTCATCTTGAGGGTACAATTTCCCTTCCCGGAAACCTTACAAGGTTGATCGTCGTCAAGATAGACTGTCCCCAAGTCCTTCACGAACGATGAAAGCAGCTTTTGTTGTGAGGTTGCATGGAAAGATGCGCCAGAGTCGATGACCCACGCATCACTTTTGTCTTCTAGGGATAGGAGAAGTGCATCCGAATCCGTCTCGTGCATGAGATTGGCTGCACCGTCAGCCCGATCATCCCCTGCTGATGCTCTGGAACAGTCTCTGCAATCCCGTGCAAAGTGGCCCTTCTTTCCGCATCTGAAGCACTTCCTTTCACCGTAACCATTCGGGTTAGGCCCTTTAGACTTCCCTCTGGATTTTGATTGGCCTCGTCGTCCCCTACCCTTCTTCTGTGCACGCTCTCGTGCCTCGACATGCAGAGCACTCCCACTGCTAGAGGCCTCAGCTCCTGAGACTTTGCGGTGAGATTCTTCATCCAGAATTGCCCCAACCACTGTGTCGAGCTTCATCTTGTCATTACCATTAGCGTTGCTCACCACCATCACCATATTCTCCTATGAATCTGGTAGACAAGAAAGTAGCAGAAGAACTTGGATCTCGTTGTCGAACTTTAGATCTACTGCAGCAAGCTGTTGCACCACAGCCTGAAATTCGTTCAAAAAGTCCGCCACGCGAGCTCCTTGCTGCATCTTGAGATTGAATAGCTTCTTCATCAGGTACACCTTATTTGAAGCAGACGGCTTCTCATACAGCGCCTCCAAAGCCTCCATCAACTCCTTGGTGATGGTCGCATGCGAGACGTTGTAAGTCACATGCTGGTGAAGGTTGAGCCTGATTATGGCAAGTGCTTTACGATCAAGCACCTTCCACTTATCGTCGTCCATCTTCTCAGGTTTTCCCGTCTCTCCTTGGAGGGGTAGGAAGAGATCCTTCTGGTACAAATAGTCTTCTATTTGCATCCTTCAATACCTGAAATTTTGGCCGCCAAACTTCTCAAATCGAAACCTGTTGTCTTCAACTGTAGATCCCATGACGAAAGATTACGTCTTTCCCGTATTTGTGAATAGTATCGTATTCGTGAATAGTACCATATTCGTGAATAGTACCGTATTCGTGAATAGTGATGTACACGTGAATAGTATCATACACGTGAATAGTGTCCAATGCCTTAAAAGAGTAAATATTAATCTAACTTATTTTCTGATGTGGAGGATCCACTTTTAGTGGCAGCCACAGAGCATACGATAAGCAGATATATATACTCTAAGTCAGGCTCTGATACCAGTTATTAGGATACACCCCAATAATAAAGCCTCGAACGGAGACTTAATCACAAAATAAAGGCACAAAATTCAACACAGAGTACTCACAGATATACGTGGTTCACTCCTTCGGAGCTACTCCACGGTGCAACGACGACGCCAAATTCTTTTATATCCCAAAAGAATTGATCCAAGAGAACACCCTCTCTTGATCAGATACACTCCAAGAACTCTCACAAACTCTCTCTTTGTGTTTTCTCTCTTACTCTTCTATGAGAGGAGTTGTTTCTGGGATGAGATTTCCTTAAGAGTTTAGGACCCTATTTATAGTGTTTGAAAAATACTATGCACAAATAAAATATTATTAGTGGGACCCGCCACTAATAATAGTTTATTATGGGACCCACATACTTTTATTCTTTTTCAAAAGTTACGGCTACTTTTCCTTAATTGTCAAGGATGTTAGGTGAGGGCGGCTGCATAGGGCGGCTAACAAAACCATCATAGTGATCAGATGTGGCATTTACAATAACTGTATCTCCATTTGCATTTATCAATCGCCATAACTGATCAAATGCCACATTTACAAGTTGTTGGCATCTAACCTTGATTCACATTTCTTCTATGACCTATAAATTGCTTTACATGCACAGATGGTAACATGGGAGTTTCTAAATGCTCTCTCTAACATCTAACTCTGCTTCATATTTTACAGTAGAAGTGTAGAACATAAAGAAAAATGCTCTCTCGCATCTGGCTGGTTTCATAATAAAGTACCCGCAAGTAGAAATATATAACTCTACCTACAATTAGATCTCATCAAGCTTATCCACATAACAATAATAAAGAAACTTCAAGAAAATTACTGCAATAGTTATCGGAAACAAGGACCCCAAAACTAATAAGGGCACAAGCTCAAAGAATTTCCCACTATGACTAGCAAATTAGTGCAGATTGATGATGAGAATTTTGCTACCTTTAGAAACTCATCCTCCAGGTGGTCTATGAGTCGCTGCTGAGTTTTGGCCTTGCCTATCATTGCTGGCATCTCCTTTTTTAAATGGCTCATGATATATGCATGAATCTTGGCAGCTCTTGCACGCTTAACAAACTCATTGATCTGCAAAGGTGTTGGTAGATTAAGGACAACAGTAACTTAAGGTCCTGAACAATATTTGTTGAGAGCTTACCCGGCGATCACAAGCCTTCTTAGGAATATCCTTGAGGTCAGAGATAAGATCCTCCTGTTCTCTCTCAAACAACTCTTTTCCAATAGGACCAATAGCTGCTTCATTTACTGGCTTGTCATTGAAAGACCTGAAATTTTAAAGATCAATATAAGATAGAATTTATCAGCATATTTGAGTAGTATTGTCCAAGGTAACCATTGTGTTACATATAACAATTAAACCAGCTGTTGTACACAACGAAAAAACTAAGCAAAATTTGATACTGGACAGAAGGGGTAACAGAAACAAAATAGAAACCTTGCAATAAAAATGAGTAGAGGCAGCCATGTTACATAGAGATTCTTACCCAATATAAACACGCATGACCTCAGGGGTATTTAGAACTTTCCCCAGGGACCACAGCAATGCTCCATAAACTCTCATGAGCTGATAAGACATGCCAAGAGATATTTGGTTAATAATACAACAACAACAAAAATGGAGTAGCAGATAACTCAGGTGAAATATAACAATGTGGTGGAAATGGAAATATATCAGCTTGCAGATTTGACCTGCTGTGTGTCCACTTGGTCTGCCTTATTCAGAACAACACGAATTTTATCATCATGGCCATGGAGAGATCCAATCACACGCTTGAACTCGTCACTGATATCAAGCTTATGAGGATCAAATAGTAGAAGTATAAGGTCACATTTGGATGCAAACCAAGACGTAACACCAGTAAAATCATAGCTACGTTGTGTTCGCTGTTTTTCTCCAGAAAGAACCCCTGGAGTATCAACGAATGTTATGTGCTCCAAAAGCTGGCAAAAACAGAAATGATCACAATTTTGCTAGATTTTAATATGAAGATATATAAGACGCTAGGTTAAGGTCAACATACTGCATGTGGCATCTGAGAGCACTCAAATTTAGATAAAAAAGCAGTTCCAAATGATGACAGACCACTGTAGGGCATGTCCGCTTGAACCGCTATAGTGTTTCCAGGAATACTCCTCTCATCTGGACCTGACTGTGTAGAACCTTTTTTTTCAGAAATTAATAATTTGAACACAAAAATTCACTTGAAAGAACAAAAATATTCAACACATGACTGAGAAAATGCACTATCCTCTGGTTCTGGGACATTTAGGTCGCATGAAAGGTAAAATTAAAATTAAACTTCATTCATAATTGTGGATCCTCCCCTCAAAGTTAATCCACGAATAGACTTATCATCTGAGGCTTTCCAAAGTTTCTCCTTTATTTCAAATTCCTTCATGTTTAAGATTTTTTGCTGGAAGCTTGGGACCACAAACAGCCATTTCATTATTTAAAAATCCCTCCCACACAAAAAAAGGAAACAAACTTCATTTACAATGCTGCAGCGCTGGTTATGATGCACAGATAACAAAGGGCCTGAAGGAATTGGTTTCATTCATCCAGTATTTTGCATTCTTTCTCCTAAACATTTTCTTCATCTCATTTCTTCTCCCTTCTTCTGTTTTCTGCTTCTATGGAAACTTTCTACTAATATCTAAAGTAAAGAAACTTATGTAATGAACGATTTCCTAGAAATCCTTCTGAAGCTAATTTAAGTTATTAAGTTACAAAAAGTTACAATCAAGATGAAGAATATACAACGTCGACAGTTTTAGAGAATCATTAAAGTTTCTTAGTACCGTCAACCATAAACTTATTAATTCATTAGACAATGAATACGTCGGTTAGGAAACATGTTCGAGTGCCATTGCTAAGAACATAAAGAAAAAACATACCATGACGACGACGAATCTATCAGTTGTAGGTTCTGGTCCTATATGAGCCCCTGCATAGAGTAATCAAATTAATAAGTTGGCTCAATGTTTCTGAACATTTTCCACATGTTTTGAGGAGCAGAGATGTATATTTGAATAGATAGATTATCTCACCAACCTGGATAGCTAGTCCTTAGTAAATGCTTTATAAATGTTGTCTTCCCCGTGGAATATTGACCCAAAAGCATAACCATGGGCTTGGCATCAAAATCGCTATTTGTCTAAAAAAGAAGTGAGAAGATCAGAATTTTTATGGTATGGGCCGTATGATTACTACCAATTACAAACAACAACATAATTAACCTCCTATAGCTCAGAAAGATGGGCGTCTAAGATGAAGATGAAGTTATAAGCAATTTGCTCATGCTAAGAGGAATGAAGAAGAAACTAAATTCTTAGATCCTTGAATAACATATTGCATAACTCACCAATAAAGGAGAAACAAAATCATTAAATCGGTAAGTAGCTTCCAAAGGCTTCAACTTTTCAATATACAGCTTCTTCAAGCCATCAATAATTGAAGTGACAGAGCTTAAAGGGATCTGAACAGAAGAAACAATGTAAGAAGTAATGCAAGGGGACACAAAATATAGGCATCAAGAATTAAGAAAAATAATTAGACAGACCAAATTACCATATCGTGAGGGATTGTCTTTGACTAGTGTAACATATATCAAACATCATGTACTAATAGATATCTTGAGTTACGAAATGCTAATATCCAACTTACTCAATGGCAGTTCAATCACCCATTTATAACAAATATAAAAAATTTGTATGTGCAAGCTGAACAAAGCTGTGTGTATTTTCATTTCCACTCTTTTTCCAAGTGTCGTCTTTTATCTTTTACCTCTCCTCTCACGTTTTCTTTTAATATGTTGCCGGACTTGGTTCTGCATCTGAACCCATATGTATCTTCACTGGCTCTAATGCAACAGTTAAACATTTTAGAGTATCGACAATTGAAATTTAATCCATGCCCTTATTCGAGATGTGTTGAGACTGACACTAGCACAACAAATACAAGTCATATTGGAGTGTGTTGGATGCAGAAAAATGGTCGTGGTGTTGGTGAGAAACATTCAAAAGGTTATTTGTTGACAGCTTGAAGCCATATGTTGTTTAAACACATACGAAGAGGAACCTTTAACATAACAGCGGTAATATACTAACAAAACCTAAACACATCACAAGCAGTAGGTACATTACAAGCTCAACAAAAACAATCTCTGTTATTACTTCGGATTTAAATCATTACGGCCTTATTCTATTTTATTTTTTACTATTAAATCTATTAAGCGGATAGGTACAAGTTACAAGTAGGGTAAAATATACATGCGTTGATCAATAAATTTTCAAGACAGATAAGGATGTGCTGCACAAGATCAAAATAAAACCATACATGTAATTTTGCATGGTGATGTACATAAATTAAAGAAGTGTTATATCTCAGATATTATAAAAATTTCAATGTTTACAGTTAATCATCACATGAACTGCCATATTTCCTACTAATAATTCCTTAAGAAATTATAGAGAATATATAAATATGATCCAGTTACAATTCAAATAAATTAAAATTATAATACCTTAATTTATACAATCACTTTTTTTATTCCGTCTGAATCTCATAATATGTTTTTGATATATCAAGGATACATTAACTTTACATACATAAAAAAGGGAACATGCACTTGTCAAGTATCAGATACATATACAATAAGGGCATCCCTCCTCCATTGGAGCATCCATGCAGTGTAGCTTTTAGCCTTTTAATAAAACTATCTTAATGGCAGGGTTCCCAGGTTAATTGCATCTAGATACATATGTAGTTGTGGTTATGTTCATTTCCAACAAGAGATACATTCTCTCCACGTTTGCATTTACCTACATCCATGTGCCAGTTATGGACCCATGCTTCCAAAATTTTAAGTCTTAATTACATGATCCTCTTCATGCTTACTCAATGTGGCCTAAAAAGTTTTATAAATGGACCTATGTGTTGGTCCTTTTGTTTTGATGATGTTTTAACAAACAATTTACGACTAATATTGTTTGTCTAGTGTTTGTGTTTTCTTATTTATTCTAGACAAACAATGTGTTGGAGGTTGGATGGATTGAGCCTACACGATCACATCAAATGGAGGTTGACGGAAATAGTGGAATGAATTGCACAATTCAAGTCAAACTCAAGTTCAAGCTTCATCCGTAATCAAGACGAGCTTAATGAAGATCAATTGCCTTGGGTATATTAAATTAGGTTTATGCTTTGTGTGCTTATGCTTTAAGCTCAAATAGTGCACGTACACGTTTTCTTGATTTATTGACTATTATACATCCATTTGAGATAATAACGTGTTTTCGGATTATTGACTTAATATAACCGGTTTACATCTTTTATAAAGTCTATTAATCCATTTAAAAAAAGTTTCAAACTTGTTTGAACTCGTTTTGTCAAAATCAAGTTTTAATAAGTTCATGTTCGTGCATGTTTTTGCAAAACAGATGAGTTTTCACAATTGGGAAATGCAATTTGAAAATTTTATTCGTTTACAAGTTTATCTTCATATATACAAACATTTCCCCAATTTTTACTAATTTTGGAGTTGTTTTGTTATTTTCAATTGAATTTACAAAAATAAGTTTTCAGCAGTTTTTCAGAAACTGTAATATCTGTATTCAAACAATTATTTCTCACAAATGGGAAGCGATATCTAAGAAATTCTTTTCTCTAACATGTTTATCTACATGTTTAGAAACTTCCCTCAAAATTTCACGATTTTTGGAATTGATTTACTATTTTTAATTGATTTTACAGAGTCAGATACACAGATTTTCAGGTTTGTGCGCGTTCTATGAACAGTGCCGGTCGATCGGTGCACTATTCACGATCGACCGAACAGTGTACCGTTGCAATAACGGCTAGTTTTTTCTGGTTCTGATTTTTTGGGGATTTGCCTCGTTTTTTGGGTTTTTCTTTGGCTTTGGGTTGTTGTCTTAAGTTCTTATAAATACCTATCATCCTTCAACTCTTATAATAATCCAAGAAAAGTTTAAATCAAGTTTACAAGTGTTTTAAAGTTTGTTTTTAAGGGTGTTTATTAAGTGTTTATGTGAAAAGAGTTTCACAAGAGGAGATCAATCTTCATTCGGTTTTTGAGCTTCAATTTCTCATCTCCATCACTCTTGATACTTAGAGAAGTTTTTCTTAACTTATCTTCTAGCATACTTACATTTTGATTCATATATATATATATATATATATATACATTTGTGCTAGTTTGATTTAAGTTTAGTTTTATTTTTTATTTATCATATTCACACACAACCATTAAGCTAAAGTATTTTCACACAGTGTAATTTGGTTTGTAGGTGTGATTGAGTGAGCTTACATTGAGTTCTCATCTTGTATTAGAGAACAAACTATTTGTATTGAGCTTTTATTGTGAGGATCATTTTGTATTACACAAGTACACCGAGAGGAGTGTGTGATGAGAACGTAGTCGATACCAAGAGGAGTGGCATCGGTAGTAAATCCTAGGGAGAGATAATAAAGCCGAGCACTTGAGAGAGGCGACACGTGAGGACCAACACTTGACGTGGGAGTTTGTATAGTTACATTGTGAGTAGATTGTAAAATTTTCGGTGAACTAGAAAACCGAAATTGTGTGGAGTTGTAAACGTTTTCGATTAGCGTTGAAAACCGATGTGATAGTGGAGATCTCCTCGATATGAGGAGCGGAGACGTAGGTCAAATGGTTAGACCGAACTTCATGATCAATTTCTCGTGTTTGCATTTGTCTTGACGTATCATTTGTGCTCATTGCTTATTACTATTTTATATCGTCATTATCTCATGTTTATGTTGCCCTTTGTTTATATTGTATTTTCTTGCTCATAATTAGTTGTATATCATACTTACAAGAAAAATTTATTAATTAGTTTTTAATTGGTATAAAATCGGATTAGATTAGCACATTATCCTATTCACCCCTTCTAGGATACTAATAATTGATATCAGAGCTTGGTGCTCTTGATTAGAGGTTTAATCACCTAGAGTCAAAGATACAAGCATTCATATCTTGCTAATCTAGTTTGAGATTTATTGTATTTTGCTTGCATATTTTTAAATTATGGATATGCATATTACACCGAAGTTAGGTTATGACACTAATGTTGCTCTAAGATATATTAATTTCCCTTATGCTCAATGGTGTTTTAGATTTAAAATATTTGTTAAATTTAAAAATATCGATTTATGAAAAGTTATTGATAGTGCTTACATTGTGCCCACATTGGAGAAATCCAAGTGGAGCGAATATGATAAAAAAATGTTTACAATGAACAAGTTAGTGTTAGAATTCTTGCTTAATGCTTTTGAATCATGTATTTCTAACGAACTTGCTCATTTTGATAATGCTTATACAATATGAAAACTTTTTGAAGCACATCAAGGTGACTTGGAGTAGATTCGACGTGTTTTGGCGGAATCCTCTTCAAGTAAGAGTAGAGCTACATCATGCACACGGCCACTAAACGATAACCCTAGTGAGATATACGAGTCTGAAACCGATAAAGATTTATCTAGTGATGAACTCGTTTGTGCTTCTGAAAAATTATTATATGCCTATAACAAATTGCATCATATCTTTATTGATTTAAAAAGCAAGCATGTAGATTTAAAATCCGATCATGAGAAGTTAGCTTCCAAATTTAATATCATTGCTCAAGAAAATATTACTCTTAAAGAAAACAATGATATGTTAAGTTTGGAAAATAAAAAGTTAACATCATCTATAGCTAGCTTATCTCATGCTAAGAATGATGTCATGCTAGAAGTAGAATCTATTAAAAATAAATTTAATTCTTTCAAAAATGATCATGCTATTTCTACTTCTAGTAACAATGCTTGTATGCAAAATGATGAGTTGAAGCTGGTTAATGATCACATATCATTTTTAGATTCAACCCTTAAAACATGTATTATAAATAATAAGAATTTTATGGGCTTATGTGCAAAGTCATGTGCTAATTCTTTCAAACCACGCACTCACTATGCACATATGTATAGCAAAGTTTACAGATACTCGCCGAAAAGGCCATATTGCTAAATTTTGCTATGATCCACATAAACCCAATAAAGCTCATATTATTTCCCCTTATGCATCCCATCAAGCTTCTTCATCACACACACATGCACATGCACCAATTGCTCATCATAAGCATGTTAGTGTGTTTAAATGTGATCATTATGATCGTTTTGACCATTTGACAAAAATTTACTTTGATTTGAAAAAGGTTTCACTTTTGCCAAATGCTTCTAAAAGACCACATGTGTATAAATATAATGTTTGTGGTAGATCTGACCACTTAGCAAAGTTTTGTTTTGATTTACAAAAAGTTTCACGTCTGCAAAATATTTCAAAAAGATCAACTTTATTTGCAAATGATTCATGTGCACAATTATATGGTCAACATAAGCAAATGCACCTGTTCCATTGCACATATTGCAATAGGAAGGATCATTTATATAATTATTGCT